ACGAGAGACCCCCTCGAACCCCCTTGTGAAGAGATTTGTCTTAGGAGCTCAAGAAGTTTACCGGGGGTTCGAGGGGGTCTCTCGTTTAATTTGGGTGTATCTCGGGGGGTTCCAAGGGGTCTCTCGTGAAGGTTCGAGGGGGTCTAAAAACTCCCACGAAAGACTCCTTGAACCGTCGCGGATGAGCTCTGGAATCAAAATGAAGAATCCTTCGAGCTCCCGCGAGAGTCAAGGCTATTAAAAATTGTGCCATCTATCCGGAAAATGCTTAAACTTCTAGCCAAATAGTATCGACTTTTGTCCGGTAGATGGCACCACCAATCAACTGCCTCTGTCCTTACCTCTGAACCCATTGTAGGTATAAGGAAATAGTTCACACCTTTCTCCATAGATGGCGATACAGTCGCTTACCAACAAAATACCACTTTTTAGTGTTTTATATAATAAACATCATATTTATTTAGAGGGGAAGTTAAATATTTAAAAACTGAATACAGTGAACTGATATTTATTTATAAACAATAATGGTGCACATTCGCAATAGGTGTTACAGTAATTTATTATAAACAATTATAATATTTAATACAATTTATCAATTGCACAATATAAATGCAATATACTGAATATTGAATTTTTAATAAAAACGTGGATGATTTTTATTGCACAATGTAATCATTTTTCAAACAATTTTTTTATATATCTGGAAAAACCAAAACTATTGATTCACAGAAATATTGAACAATATTCATAATATTTTTAATTGTTAAATTTATGAAATGATTAGTTCGTAACGGGAATAAATAATACTTAATAATTTTCCTTGTTTTCCAACTTGGAAAGTCGGTGGTTGCTGCAGATGGTAACCTAAAAAGAACGACGGGGTTAAGTTTAGTTAATGGGCGAGTAGCTTATGGTGTTCTCTCGTAGATGGCAAGACATAAGTGTCGATGCACTGCATTGTTTATACCGACAGGTCGGAGGGACCTGGTGTATACATATTTGTTTGGTTGCTTGAAAAATTTAACGGAAAAAGTGATTTGCAATGGCCATAAAATTAAATAGCCGAAGTGTACAAAGCGGAAGGAAACAATCTTCGGTTGTGTCCTCGGATGAGGAGAATATACTTGAAAGCGTTCGTTACGCGTTACAAGGAAAGCGTATTGTAGACGATAAAAAATATTCGCTTAAAATCAGATTGAAACGGTCTACAGAGCAAAGTTTATATAAAATTGATAATGAGTCAGAGTGTAACAATTCTGAACGTAAAAAGCATGATGATGGAGTATTGAAACATAAGAAAAAAAAGTCAATTGTAGAAAGCGAAGATTCCTGCAGTGATAGTAAATCTAATGATGAGAACATTGAAAAAGTAGATGTAACAAAATCACAGTGGTCGCAAAAAGACAAAGTAGAAATGTACTCGAAAAGTAGAGTTAGAAAACCGCCTTTAAGGCTTTCTTCGTATCATTGTGGTTCATTAGAATTTTTGAATAATACAGAAACTCCTCAAGTTAATTCTCCATGTCTCAGGAACAGAAAGAACATTAATTATTGTGAAGAAAAATTGAATTATAGTATTATGAACTCTTATGCGCAAGCAGAAAATAGAAAATCAAAGCAAAATAATAAAGGTATGAAAACATCCATTGTTAAGAATAGTTCGGAAAATGAACCTAAGTCAAATGTTAAGAATAATAAACGAAATCGTCTTCCTTCACTAAAAGATACAGAGAGTGATAGTAGCATGGATACTAGAGTAACAAAAACAAAATCAATGAGAAAGTCCAATGAGTCTCAAACTAATGAAAATAATAAATTAAATGTTTCTGTGGAAGGAAAAGAAATTACAAGAGAAGAAAGTTTGCCTAGTACACCTAACAGAGTAAATAAAAACAGAAGAACGACCAATGAAGCTGTACAGAAAAATATTGAGATTATTAATAAAACTCAGAATGATAGCGATGAAGAAAGTTTGGTGGATTTGTATAAGCATATCAAAATCTCGTCAACAGTCAAAGATACCACTCCTGTTAAGGGGAGCAGAAGAAAAAGAATAAGTTCTGAAAGTAGACTGAAGGGTACGTATCTATTTCTAGTTTATTCTTTTGAAGTCATTATAATCTTTTATACCTATTAAATTAATGTTTCCATCATTACTTTTATTATCACTATCAAAGAAAGCAATGACGAGGAAACATCATTGGCTAATATGTACGAGCATATAAAAATTGTGTCTGGAAAGAAACATATTTCAACACCACAGAAAAAAAGGAATATAAGAAGAAATATCGAGGCACAACTAGAGGGAACTCCATTGAGTACTCCTAAGTCACGTTCGCTTAAACATAATAATTTAACACCTTCCATGGGAAGAAGAAACTGTACTTTGGTAAAACCAGCTACACCCCTACAAGAGGCTAGATCTAGATTACACGTTAGTGCTGTACCAAAATCTTTACCCTGCAGAGAAGAAGAGTTCAATAATATTTTCACATTTCTCAAAGGAAAATTGGAGGATAAAACTGGAGGGTACTTAAAAAAACCTTTTCGCTCATAAAATAGGAGTAATGAACTAACGTTATTTACAGATGTATATATGTAAGTGGAGTACCTGGAACTGGTAAGACTGCAACTGTAAACGAAACCGTAAGATGCCTACAGAAGTTGACAATTAAAGGTCAGTTAGATGACTTCGATTATGTTGCTATCAATGGAATGAAATTGACTGATCCAAGGCAGTCGTATGTACAAATTTTGAAGCAACTGGATGGTAAAACTGCCACTTGGGAGCAAGCGTATCGCATACTTGAGAAAAGATTTCATAGTGTTAACTCTAAGATGACATTGCTCCTCGTAGACGAGGTATTTGCATTAAATGATTTCGTTCAGCCAATATCTGTATGGTTTATCATAACGATCATTATTATTGCAGCTAGACTTTTTATGCACAAAACGTCAGGACGTCGTGTACAACCTATTAGACTGGCCAACGAAGAAAACAGCACAACTAATTGTAGTGACCATAGCTAATACCATGGATTTACCAGAGAGAGTGTTGATGGGTCGCGTTACGTCGCGATTAGGCCTTACACGATTAACCTTCCAACCATATAATTACAAACAATTACAAGAAATCGTAATGTCCAGGCTCAGAGACTTCAGTGGTTTTAGAAGTGAGGCCATACAACTCGTCGCAAGGTATTATTCCAATGAAATTATAATAAATTCGTTAAAACTATTCAATTTAAATGCATTCAAGAAAATGTAATTTCGTTGTAGAAAAGTTTCTGCTGTATCCGGAGATGCCAGACGAGCTTTAGACATATGTCGTCGAGCAATGGAAATTGCGGAATCGCGGAACGCAGAAACGATATCCCTTCAGGATGTCACCGAGGCTGTGTCTGAAATGATCGCATCACCGAAAGTTCAAGCCATAAAGCATTGCTCGAAAATGGAGCAGGTGTTCTTGCAAGCGATCTCTGCAGAGGTCACGCGAACATCCATCGAGGAAGTATACTTTAAAGATGCATACACACAGTTTGAGGCATTGTGTTCTTTTGACGGTGCGCGTTTATTTCAACTGTTGACCCTTTGCACTCTAGAGGTGACTCTCAGTCACCGTTTCATTTGATACAACAAAATGGCAAAGTGTTATATATAGTATTAAGCTTTGTACAATGCATCAGTATGTGAAATATTTCTATGAAATAGCTTTGTTTCTTCATTTACTTGTTTTCTCATTAATTGTAGTCAAAAGATTCTGAGTACAAAGGGTCAACGTTCAAGGAAACAAATATTTGTTTCTGATATGTTTCATTTGACGTTGCAGGCATGAAGATACCTACTATAACAGAGACGCTCACCATTTGTGGAAGGTTGGGTGCCAGTAGATTACTGATATGTGAACACTCGAGGAACGACATATATCAGAAAATCTTACTGAACGTTTCCACGGATGATATTCATTACGCGATTCAAGAACTAGATCTAAATTAGAAGTGCCTAGCGTTATATATATTTTTAGGAGATACACGTGAATATTTTAATGCACGTTTGCAAGTGTTCTTAACGGTGCCTTACTTGTGAATCTATCATCAATATTTTCGTAAAAGGAATTTTGTGATATACACTATTTATTCATTAAATTTTACATTGAAAAGTATAAATGAATTATTGATATTTCATAGAACCACTTTGTGTACACGAGTACGTATAATATATCCTAACACTTTCCCTTTGTCTCCATTGTCAAAGTACACGGTACAAAGTATAACAGTGTAGGCACGCGATAGACTTTGTCGATACATCTATAATTCAGCGAATTATGTAATTCAAGGATTTTATCTGAGAATTTTCTGTACTATTAATAAGCAATCGTTCAGCGTATTCTAAAATAAGCTAGTCTCTTGTCAAACTCTGAAACGGGTGGTTCGTTGTTTTAAAGTTACATTAGAGAGACAGAGTGATTATGAGTGACGAAAATATAGAGGAAGCGGTCCTCGCGTTGTACAATCAAGAGAACTGGAGGGATATAATTAATTTAACATGCGATTCCAATAAATTCGAAAAGTGTCGATTATTCTGGGTCCTGCCAACCGTGAACGACTTACACTGGATCAAAGAAATCATCGACAAACATTATATAAGCGGATTGACAAGCATCGGTTGCGGTTGTGGATTGCTGGAGTGGCTATTCCAAATGTATTCCGGTAAATCGGTGAACATTTATACTGGAGACCGTGCAATTTAATTTAATAAAAATCTTCGCTACATCTAATTACAAACCATTGAATATTTCAAGCGAAAAGCTTTCGAGTGCAAAGGGTTAATTGATTTCCTTTCAAGGGTTGGAGGTCGCCGGTATAGAGTTGGATCGGTCATGGTGGTGCAGCAAGTATTCCCCGCCATTGTTTCTGAAAAATATATCGTTCGTTCATGGGAGTAACGGAACGGACACGTGTATACCGGAGAACCACGCCCTTTTATTTTGTTACTTCAACAACGGCCCAGCGTTTTGCGAGTACATAAAAAATTTCAAGGGGAAACTCATCTTTGTGATCGGCCCCGAGGAGAATCAACGTCGTTGGACGGATCCGATGCCTTTCGATGGGAAATTCCGTGAATTCGGCTGGAGGTTGTTGAACAAAAAGGAAACCGAACGATCCAATGATTACATTACAGTTTACAGCAGATGATGGACGATGCGTATAGTTAACACGTTGACTGCCGCACGATTTCATAGAGCAAGCTACACAAAACGGAAAAATATAATATTTATCCTTTGCACTCGGAAGTTTTGCACTAGATTTTAACATTTTCCGACGAGAAGAAAATGTTGTGAATTTTGTGAAACTAGAAGAGAAATCACACGTACGAGGAACAAAGCTATATTTTATTTAAATATTTCTCAAATTGACGCATTGTACTAAATGTAATATTAAATATTAAATTTTTTAGTTTTGTGTGTTTTACTGTTTTACCTCGAGTGCAAAGGGTTAAATCATTCGATTGAATTGTATTATTATTATTGCGCATGTTTTAAATAATCGTCGTTTAATTAAGTGAAGTATAGTGATTGGATTTGGTTAAGGGTCACCGATGACCGAAGCATCTAAATTACAAGAAAACTTACAAGATAGCCGATGGAATAAATCGGTTCAGTAAATAACAAGATATTAGCGTACCGTAAGAATTTCGATACCGAATAATTAATAATTCATTTTTATTTCTCCTAGGAAACAAATAAGCGACATATAAAACGCTGTTGTATCTCGTGGCAGGCAACGTGTTAACTGTCCGTTTTAAACCGACTATCGACAATCGACATCTCGCCAGACGAATATCGAAGTACAAAGGAGTATCGTCTCGCGGATCGATCCCGTCGCGAGAGGCATAGTTTTAGTTTTACTTAAACGTCAACGTTCGTGTTTATAGTATTGTAATTCCCCGTAAATTAAATAACGGGACTCGTGCTCGAGAACTATGTCGACGGAAACAGATAAGAATTCTCTGGTGGACCAGGAACAAAAGAATAAGTTGAGAGTTTACTGTACATATTGCCCGTCGAAAATGTTGAACGCGGGTGCAGCCCGGCTAGTAAACATAGAGGTGATTCATCGTCAGTTTAATCTCTGATAACACTGATAAGAAAAGGAAAAGGACCGTGAGTCGATCGTACGGTTACGAAGTACTTAAAAGCGTTAGAAGCCAGAGTATGCGTATGTATACCAGTGACGCTGTCAAACCTAACCTCGAAGTTTGTTTACTTCGCGTTCGAATTCCGAAATTGATCCTTTTCTTATGAAACTCGAGCAAAGAAAGATTTCGATAACCTAACGCAGTGTTTTCCAACCTCTTTTGTGCCATGCCCCACTTATATGTATATATGTAACATATATCTGTATATATAAGTTTTAATATTATAATATTTTTGATATTTTGTTTACATGTATAAAAAATGATACTTCAAGTTTCAAATTGTCCCCTTGTGGGGCAATGGCCCACGTTGGGAAACACTGTTCTAACGTGACAAACGTATATAGAATATGGTAAGAGTTTACTTATCGATGAATTGAAATCTCATTCCAGTTCAACCTACCATACGTGCACCGGATGGGAGAAGGTGAAGCTAACCAGCAAGAACTGCTAACCGACTACTGGCTGGTGGAATGTGTATATACGTTTGAGAATATCGGAGTTTCCCATGTGATAGACAACGTCAAGTACTTGGCTTGCGCAGACTGCGAAAGGGGTCCAGTGGGCTGGCACGACCTGGCCACGAAAAAGTCGTACATCGCGTTGAGTAGAGTTAAACACGAATAATTTGTAAATAAAGGTCTTTAATAATTTACACGATTCGATTTCTTATCTAGGAGATATAACCCAAGGCAAACAGGTCGACGAAGAATCCGACATAGAAAGCTTGAAGATAGAATATATATGCGTGTTACTTGTTTAAGTTGATAGTTTAATATTTAATCACGTACGTTACAAACACAGCCGGATAAATCAGATAATCAATCGTCGTTACGATGTAATAATAATCAGTAAGATTACGCTTACGATTAGAAATCATTTATCAATGTAT